GGATGTCTGGATTTAAATCTATTGGCATTTAAGTTAAGTGATTTAATTTTTTGTAACAAAATACGAGTTTTTATTTCAAATCCATAAGCGTTTGATTAAAAAACTTTTGTTATTTGTATCAAAACTCGGATTTCTTGCCCTTAATCTATGCCCATGGGCATTTGAACCAAAGCCCGAATGTCTTTAGCTGAAACTCTTTGATTTTAGAAAATTGCCTGCCTAAATTAAAAAAAACTACAATAATTTTTACTAAAAACATATTTTTATTAAAAATATAAAAGACATTGTTTATACAGTCAAACTGATTATTCTTTCACTCATAAACATAAAATACATTGTTTATACAAAATACAAAAAACTGATTATTCTTAAACTCAAAGAAATTTCCACCTTGCAGCCGTAGGCTATGGTCTAGCTGGCCTTTTTAGAAATCCGCCTCTGGATATCTGTCAAGAAATAAGAAGGATATATTCTCCTCCCAAAGATTAATTTTTTTGGAAAATAATGCCGTAAGTACTTATTTGTCAATATGTTTTAAGACTTTAACACAAAACCATCCTAATATTGAATTAATCCCAGTGCATTTGAGCCAAAACCTACATATATGTGTGTTTTATCTATGGAGGACATGACTTGCTGACATGTAGGTTTTGGCTCAAATGCACGGGGATTTATTTAATATTATGATGCTTTTGTGTTAAAGTCTTAAAACATATTGACAAATACCGCATTATTTTCTTACAAAATTTTAATCTTTGGGAGAAGGTATAGGTAGCCATTTTTATTTTCCTGTTCTAAGAAAGCGTTTTACAGAATGATAATATTTGCATGAAATAATTATATTTTAGTCGATTTTAGCTTATTAATTAGGTATTTTTCTTTATTACATTCCTAATCGATTAAAATTTTAAAAATAAGAATACGTTACCTATAAAATTTAACCTCCAAATTTTGGAAATAAATGAATAATCCCAAAGTTTAAGCAGTTCCTTTATGCATAATCTCGATCTATAACACTATGGTACAAATAATCTTGATTTATAGCCATAGAAAAAGTATCACACATTTATTCGCACGAGATAAACACCTTTGACGAAGTACTGTGGACGCGACGCGTGGACTGATACTGAAGGACACTCATTGTTGCAAGAACTATCAAATTACCGAGTGATTTCGGACAAATGCTTTGTTCTTGAAATAAAGTTATTAAAAAGGATTTAGCCAAAAGAATCGAGAGTTTGCCTTAAATGCATCACCTATTTTAGTCAAATGCCAAAGAATTTGCAAAAAGTTAACTTTCTTTAAACTAAAAGAATAATTTTCAAATGAATGGATTCTTTTGCCTAAAATAATCCATGTTTATCAGTGTAGTTTGGCACAAAACCGTGGGATTTCTAGCAATAACATTAAATTTTGACAGAAAGACATGAATTGAAGATTTCTTTTGTCTAAATGCCTTTACTTTGCCTTAAAGTAATTAAATGTCAAAAGAATCGAGAATTACACCTAAATGCAGCAATTATCTTATCCGAAGGGAAACGGATTTAAAATAAATACAGTTTCTTTGAATTTAATCAATATTTTTCAAATGAATGGATTCTTTTGCCACAAGGATACCATTTTTATCAGTGTACTAATACTAATATAATAAATCTTCTCAACGGTTAGAGTAATCAATTAAAAACATCAGACCTTTGATATTTGATTTTTTTAATCACCATAGTATTTACGGTATAAATGAGACTAATAGAGATCATTTCGGTTTAGGCAGATAGGAGCTGCGATAGCGGACGTCATATCACAGAAACAGAACAAAATATTTTGAACGCACGTCTAATGTGCACTTATTACATTGCGGCTCTAAGCGGTGGCAGGCGACTTCTTCAAACTTGTTTCTGTACTATTTAGTCGATGTTTATCGTTTCGAGATTTGACAAGCGTTAGCTTAAAACTGTCGACAACACGAGATATAAACAAGATTAACTTTTGAAACCTGTTTTACCCATATTTTGAAGTAGGTACAGTTTAACTTAATTATATTTAATATTTTCTATAAAGGGTGCTGGACCATCCCCCTTGTGGTAATGAAGTGCAAAAATGTAAGCAACAATGTTATTACTCAAGATACAGTCCTCTAAAGAATGAATGTTTGCAACTTCTAATTTAGCTGATGAGAACGGTAGTTGCAAATTTTCTCTAATTGTATCTAGTTTTGGAAGCTCTTCTGCTGATGTTCGATATCCCAATCATAAGCATCCTCACAAAAATGCATTCCAAAGTTTGGCAGAGACAGAGAGTGCATCTTATTGCACTAAGTGCAAGCGCCAAGGTAAGAAGACCTACTCAGAATGACTTTCGGAGGTTATTGGAAGGAATAAATTCAGAAAGCTAAAAAACGCAACCATCGAAAAGAATCCTGAGCATTTAAAAAGCGATATAGATAGTTGATTGCGGCGTTATAGAGACTAGGTAAGAAGAAACGTGTGTGAGATATCGTGTCGGATAGTTGAGCATTTAACGCTATGCGGCGAAAAGACAAAGAAGAGTGAAGAAAACGGAGGATGGTTCGATCAGGTGTTCAAAGATGATTGATGGGAAACGACCGATGAGGACCAAATCGTGAACCTTCAATTCAACACCTCGCCACTTTTGATCGAACCGCTAAGAACATATATTTCTGACGGAATATCGTTTGCAAGCTTTTTGTGGATTGTGCAAGCCAAATATTTTGTATCGGAAGAAATGTTACATTCTGTTTTTATTGAAATCAGATCGCCCGATATGATTCACAGAAACGAGTTTCAAAACCGTTCTAGATAATCTGAATTCTTCAAATTTAAATAAATATTCATAGTTCACCGAAAATTTCCATGTAAATTGAAAAAAACATATCGGATATTCTAATTTCATCGCCATGTGACTAATACAGTTATAGTTAAACCTATAATCGATTTTATTAAAAATTTATGGTATTTACAGTTCCTATCTAATCTATTTCGACATTTTTTTGATTACTCCATTTTATATAGATGTCGCTCTATTCAAATATTTAAATTAATTAATTAGTAATACATTATTTTTATGTTATAATTTGCACCATATATTTTTTGCGGTATCAAAGAATTCGCATGACTCACTGATTCCTTAAAGGTTAATAATTGTGTCAAACCGCAAAACCTAAACAATGTTGACCGCAAATTTCTTGTGATCATTCGCTAATGCAATAAAATGTCGTTGTGACATTGCCTTCGACAAGTTCATTATTCCGAAAACGCACAAAACTTTTTTTGAGTTAACCTGAACGGCGATAGATGTCGCTGCTTGTGCCTTTCAGCGTTCAGTTGTTCCGACTGGGTTCGTTTGTTTATTTAACGGGCCAATGTCTATTGTCGTATTTACCGAGCCACTGAATATTAATTGTTGTTTTAAGCTACCTCTACAAATTGATTTAATTTTCGATGGAAAATTTGGTTTTATTGGTTTGATGTCGCACCAATTTTTTCGTTAAAGGTTTACATTGTACTAATGGTGAAACAAATAATTTCCATTAAAAAGTGTTTAACGTAATTATGACTAATTGATCGAAATACAAAAAACTCAAAATGTAGGATGTGACCTTTAAATTGTATTATAAAGAATCCTTAAAAATTGTGTAATTTGCGTATAATTACTGAAAGTAGGTGCTTTATTATAATTGTTTAAGTGGATAATAAAACTGACTGGTAATTGTTTTTAAATAATATTGAAATGTGGGTTTTAGGCAACAAAAGATAAACAAATAACTTTTTCTGTTCTTAGATTCTGTTAGATGATAATAAGAATAATAATAAATGTATAAATTTCTGGGTTATGTTTTTATGGAAAGTAAGTTATTGAAATTAAATAATAAATTTTGTCACTGAAATATTAAGTGAGATTAGAAAATGGGGTTTTACATGTTTGCCATAACAATTAACACAGATTTGTAAATTGGATTCCAAACAACATAAATAGACGTTGGTCTGCGGTTTTTCTATTTAAATATATAATTACTATTAGTACCGAATTAAAATGAGATCATTATCCATAACTTATCGCTCTCTATATAAAGGTGTGTTCAGAAGGATAATATTGAGTGAGCGGTGTGTTTTTTATTTTGGCACACTTTCTTAGTTTATTTTATGTTTGTAGTGGACAACGAAGTAAAAATCAATTTATCTCAACTTAAGTTAAGTGGGCACGCGGGACGGCAAATTTATTCGCAATAACTCATTGTAAAACGATTGGTATCCCTGCTTTTTCAATTATGTAAATCGTTTTTAAAGTTGCACGTCCTGGCTGGATATTTGGCGTTTACAATTTAAAATGATTTATCGGAGATCGCGCGCCGTTAATGTAGCGCCCCCATACGGGCACGACATACACCCTATCGACTTTTTAATATATCGCGGTTATTTGTAATCAATTTGCGTCCCAAATGATTATTTTTGCTTCAGCTTTGATTTAAAATATTAAACGGTCAAAATTGGGGGCTTTAAGTGGTAGGTAGGTAATGTTTACCTGTCAAAGTCATTTTTCCTAATCCTTCTTCGTAGTGCTATGTTTTATTGCTACCAGTAGTCAAGAGTGATTATTGCAAAGGATTACCCCCTATAGAGCATTAAATGTCGTTTAATACCTTTTACCACAAACTGAAGTTATTCTATTTAAAATGTATTAAAATCTGATTTAAATAATGGGGAGCAATTTACAAAATTATCTTTTTTAATATAGACGTTCGTTGAGGAATTGATCTGTTGGATTCGTGTCAGGTGGATAATGAGGGTATTTTGTTTCCCTGGTGATGTATTTCAGACAATTAATCATCACGTCCAAACCTAATAGGTTTTTGGATTCAAAATTTTTTCACGAGACTTCGTTAAAAAAAGTTTCGCGGGTTTCGCTCGTTGAAGTCTTTGGGTTCGTCGTTATTCTACCATCGATATCTCCATGTCGAAAATATTATTTTTGTGGTGACTTACCTCAATTTTGATAATCGTCCTTTAACACTTTAGACGGTAAAAGTTAATTTTCACAATGGAAAGTCACTTTGATGAGTTGCCACTTGTCACAACAGTTCGTCACAAGTCACAGATGATGATGATACAACTCGTACGAATCACAATAATTGTAGCACTGATTTCAAAAAAACTGAACTGTCAATTTGCACCAATGGTCGAATCGTCCGTAAAACAATTGCTTGTGCGGTCCGAAGTAGCAGGCACGGGCACCTCGATGTTCGAGCACTGAATGATCAGTTTGCTCAAGCAACACCTTCGATGTTCGGATGTTTGGGGGGGACGTCGGTGTGTGTGTACCTGTGCCTACTTCGATGATGAGATGCGACCCGAGGGGAGGGGTGAATTATCGCTGGACGTTTGAATTAGAAGATTTTATTGTGCGGGCTCGCGATCATTGGTGTGATTTCTGTGCACGGGTGGTGGCGGTGGTGGGGGGATAGGTGAGACGAGACCACGGCACCCCGTACTATCGCTGTATCTATACCGTAACTTGCCTACACGCAGTTTGGGTCCTACTTCCTTTTCAAAGCATAGGTACATATGTATAAATGTATATAGTATAGTATAGTATATTTCGATAAATGATCATAAATACATATTGTACACTGTATAATATACAGTGTACCCTAAAGGTGTAGATCGTGTCAATAAAATAATTCAAGATAAAAGCATACACAATTAAAATTCTAGGAAAGATAAAACAATAGTTAAAATCAGACATTAAAACAAAACTCCAAGTGCTGAAAAGTATAACATATTCACAGATCATCGAAATCTTTCTCCTTCAATAATTCATCAACACTATAATAGCCTTTTTTGTCCAGAAACTTCTTTAGTTTTGCTTTTTGTTGATTCATCTTTAATGTTTTTAAAAATGTGGATAGTATATTCCAGATTTTGACTAACATATATGTACATACACTCACAGGCAAAATAATCGATCCACACAAATTTTCGATGAATTTCAATGGCAAATAACTTTTATATTTGATGTCGGATTTAAACGAATATTAAAGAATTTTGTAGATAAATTACTAAAAAATAGACGTACGTTTATAATATACAGGTTTAAACAAAAATATGTTTTTTTACCATAAGTTTAAGACACTCTGTGGAGTGGCAAAACCGTATATTGTTCTAAATTAAGTTTTAATTATCAAGTCACATCTATTAACAGTTTTGTTTTTGGTTCACCTCGATATATTTATTTTTGTGGAAAATATGGATTTTTTAAAAAAACATTGCAATTTCCAATATTTTTCTGTATGAAGAACTAAGGTTGCTATGGTCCATCCATAGCCTATGGAGGATGACAGTGACAGTTTTGTTGAATCATCCCATACTTGGACATGTCATACACGGCTTTCAAAAGCTATCAAATTGTTTTTTGCAAATTAATGTTTAAATTTTGAGGTGTCTTCTTACTTTAAAAAATGGATATGTCTCCGACTGATGTTGCCAGAGCCATTAATTTAATCCATGATGGACGGTCATAGTATTACGTGGCAAGTGTTTTAAACGTCACAAGAAGTAAAGTACAAAGGGCAACATCAGTCGGAGACATTTTTAAAAGTAAGAAGACAACTCAAAATTAACACAATATTTTACAAAAAACAATTTGAAACTTTTGAAAGCTGTATATGACATGTCCAAGTATGGAATGATTCAACAAAAGTGTCACTGTCATCCTCCATAGGTTATGGATGGACCATAGCAATTAGTTCTTGATGCAGAAAAATATTGGAAATTGCAATGTTTTTTAAAAAAATCCATATTTTCCACAAAAATAAATATATCAAGGTGAACCAAAAACAAAACTGTTAAAAATAGATGTGACTTGATAATTAAAACTTAATTTAGAACAATATACAGTTTAGCCACTCTACAGAGTGTTTTAAACTTATGGTAAAAAACATCTTTTTGTTTAAACCTGTATATTATAAACGTACGTGTATTTTTTAGTAATTTTTAAAATGTGAGCGATTCTCCATTAATGTAACTACAATATTCTTTAATATTTGTTTAAATCCGAAATCAAATAAAAAAGTTATTTGCCATTGAAATTCATCGAAAATTTGTGTGGATCGATTATTTTGCCTGTGAGTGTATGTTTTTTTGTAAGTAAGAGAAATTTGCTCGATCAAGATATAGTAGATCCTTGTTTCTAGTATTATATATATGATCACGTTGAAGATCTATTAAAGTGGACCTATTTTTTTATTGCAAACATCACATATTAGGGTGTCCGTTATTTACCAAGTTTACTGCTTATATTTGGGTATAGTTTAAATTGTTAGTTTATAGCCTAAACACAAAAAAATCCGATGCCGCTTAACCCTGCCTAAATGACGATACTTTTCCCATTCATTTAACATGAAGTTTTTGCACTTTTTGGAAATTATTTTTTTTCTTGTTTATTATTTTTAGTAACTTACCCAATATTGTTGATTCTGCTTCTATTATGATCCCTTTGGATAAAGAAATTATGATATTAGCGTCAAAACTTTATTTCGTAAATTTTGATGAGGTCAAAATTAATTTTTATCCTTTTTTCCAATAATTTTGTTTAATTTACCGACCATTAAAAATTTATTCAGTATTTAATGTTAAATTTCATTTTAATATTGACTTTATAAAGATTGTAAATCATAAATCATTAATAGTTAATTACAGAAAAGTGAGGTTAATTCCGTTGATATTTGATAGATGTCAAATGTTCTAACAAATATAATCGGCTTTAAATTCTTCTTTGTGTTCGTCGTAGATAAAGTATAGTATGCAACTCGTTTTATAAACTTTTTAATTAAACACTCGTTTTTATTAAACCCTCGCTTGCAAGCTTCGCTCGTGCCTAATAAAACTCGTAAGTAAAATGACGTTTATAAAACTTGATACATAATGTAATATTAAAACATTTATATTATCCCTAAGCATTAACATTTTGAATTAGATATAAAACAATTGAAATTTCATCAAGATATATTTGACATTTGTGAAATTCTTTTTTAACCATAAAAAATAATTTCGCTAATATAAGTCAGTGTATATTTCATAATTATTTAATTTAGACTATTCGGATATGAAAACATGAAATTGTACATTTATTTGTATTTTATAAAAATTTCATTTAAAAATCTTAAATATTTTGGAAACCTTTTAGTAAACAGTATTATCGCAGTGGCCAGGATATCATAAATTCTTGTTTTTTTTTAGGAAAAGCGTGCAAAATTGGTGTATTACTTAATTTTTGAAAAATCAGATCTGACGATTTCATGTTCTAATCTAATAAAAATTAATAAAGTGTCAGTAAAAATTTTAATCACTTACTACAACACAACAAAAAATGTTTTGGATTTTTAAAGTTTTAGGACCTAAAATTTAGGTAAAACTGTAATTAAGTAGTTTCGTAATTATAACAAACATATTGTAGATTTAATAACAAAATCCTATATCAATAATGCAAGCATAATTCTTGTAATTTTCAAAAAGGACCTTATTTTTACAAACCTTTTTGTAGACCCGGTAACAAAAGTATTTGTTGGAAATTGGGAACTTAAATTAATAGAATTTTGATGATAAATGTTGATTTATTTATCAATTTTCTAAACAAAAAAATTAACACATACCAACATAAATTAACACAAAAATAACATACACACTATTAAATAACACACCATTCTAAAATCATCAAACTATAAAGAAATTTTACTTACTGATGTATTTCGTAATTTTAAACCACTTCACTGTATCCCCTATATATATTTATATTTATAAATTATAATTTCAGTTTTAAAACCAGTGATGGCTTTTTTTTCGGATACTTCGCGCACTCTTTAAATAGGTATAAGGAATCCGAATAACAATAATAACATATTTCTGATAATATATTACAAACACTATGGACAGTTGTCACGAACACGTTACGGATTAGAATAAAGTAAGCAGAAACATAAGTTGCAGACGCTGAAGTCAGCTGAACTTGTTGATGCGTATTGTCAGTGGGAAATGTTTTGATTGACTGCCTGAAATTACGTGTAGTTTTTCAACAAAAAAATTTGTTAAGCATTAACAAAATAATCTATAACCTTTGAAATTAATTAAATATTTATCACAAAAAATTATGTTAAAATTTTACAAAATAAAATTAAAAAACTACAAACTTAACTTAACTGTAACAAAAACCTGGATTTGTCCGGTTTTGAAACTAAAGATAAAGGTAACGGATAACGAAACGAAAGAATCTCAAGATTTTTATCAAACCATACGTAGCGCCCAAAAAATCCAGTAGATGTCGCGGATGAGGTAAAAATAAAATTATCGAAAAGACATGTCTCGACTGTGGGCAAAAAGTGTAGCAAATTCGCTAGGCGCGAAATTAAATTGCGCGGTGCAATTAATGCTTAGGCACTTTGGCGCCAACGTAAGATGAGTTATTAATTTTTACTATTAACTATTATTTTACTTTGTTCACCGGTATTATTAGTATGCTAAGTTTTAGCTGCCGACAATACTATTATGCGTCGGAGCTTAAGGCAAAAATTTTGTTATTAAGCGATTGAAAGAGTTTGGTGGTTAATTTAATGAGGCTCTTATTTTGTTAGTACACAGTAAAAAAACAGATTTTATGTTAAAGGTGGGTCCACATAACCTTATGTTAAGTTTACAACCAACTGTTAACTAATTGAATAAGTAATTTGTAATTATAACAAACGTTTTGTAGACTTAATAACAAAATTCTTTATCAATAATTCAACCATATTCTTGTAATTTTTAAAAAGGACCTTATTTTTAAAAACCTTTTTGTAGACCCAGTAACAAAAGTATTTGTTGGAACTTTGCTTTATTCATGAACAAAAAAATAACATACTCACAATTAAATATCACACCATTCTAAAATCATTAAATTAGAAAGAAATTTGGTACAATATAATTACGCTTTGATAGTTTTATAAACTTTTTTTTCTAACATTGAGTACTTTGGTCTAGTTTAACTAATTTTGGGCCGCTGATTTCAAAAATATCACTCGTTTTGCTCTAGGACGTCTAGGATTTAAAATAATTGCTTAATAAATTGCTTTGCTCAATCACCTCCAAATGTAGGTTTTTTGGTAATATTTAAATTATTTATATAATTTGCCTTAAATTCATCTTGATTGTACTGGAGTAATCGGTATACGTCAAATAGATAATATTTAACTTAGCGGTATGGCATTTTAAATACTAAAACTAAAATTATAATATATTTTATGTAAAAAATAACAAGTA